TGAGTAAGCTTACCTGCTGTTTAGCATTTAGTGTTTCTGTTCTGGGGTCTGGAATGGAGCAAGCAGCCATCAGAACAGAGCTCTGATTTCTGCAAACTCATGTACAGGACTAAGGGAAGCACAAGTGGCTTGAAACAAGAAACCATGCTCCCCTTTAATTTTGACGTCTGCTTTCCTTCTGCCGTGCGTTAAGTCTATACCTAACAGACCCTCATATTGGAATATTTTTTTATCTTTCATCCCATTTTTGATGTCTCTCTCTCTCTCCTGATGGATTTTACAAAGAGAGAGATTTGCCCGGTGTTTGTCATAATTAATTCCCACTGTTGTTGCTGCTCTCACAAGGACGGTGCTAAAGAGGTGGGTAGGAATTTCTACTGTACTGGATAGGCACATGTAGCTCAAGTAAGGCAATTGCAGCAGGAGCCTTTCATGAACAAGTCTGCTGGACTGGTCTGACTTAACATAAACTGCCTTGGTTTCAGTTAGTGGGAGACCTGATTTTGTATTTAGGAAAAACTTAAATGTCTTATGTGGGGGTGAGAGTTCTGGGAACAGCAAATATAATGGAATAATGAAAACTGAGTCAATTCCTCATCTTACTTTGTTTGTGCCTGGCATAGAGAGGTGACTTGTTCTCTTCTGAATAATTATAACAAAAGTCTCATACTGTCGTACAGACTGTTGCTGTATAGAAACTGAGGGTGAGTGAAGGTTGGAGCTCCTATGAACTTTTAAAACTGATCTTCTGGAATATCTTATTAAAAACATTTCTTTAGATAGCTAATGGTCTTGCACAGGTAACTTTTTTTGTTTGGTGCTTCAGTTGCAAGTAACAAAATAGTGCTAAGTGAGTTAAATATTATTCAAAATCCAAACAAAACCATCCTAATTCATAATACGTCATTTTTATCTATCCTGTTTGTGCTACTTTTAACTTAATTTGGTGTTAGAATCATTTAGCATTGACTATTTGCTCCATAAGAACACATACAAGTGACACTTCTGAATTGGTAAGGGAAGATAATTAAGTATTCATTGCTACAATTTTCTGGTTGTAATCTGGATCTGAACAACGTGATATGGATCATGCAAAATACAACACAGTTGTTTCTCTTCCTGGCATTCAGAACTATTTTGAAAGAATGTTCTGGAGTTTGTTCAGAGTTACCTATGTTAGCTTGTTTTGATTTGTTCAAGGAACATTAGAGACTGCTGTTGGATTTTAGAGCACCCTTTCTGTTTGTTTTGATAAATTCACAAACTTACTCTGAATGATGTATAAAATATTCAACTAGTGATCTTGCTTTTGTTGTAAATGTGGATGCAGATTGTAAAAAAGAGTATTGGACTTCATTTTTGTCCAGTTAAAATATCCACACTCTCTGTCTCATCAAAGCCCTTCTAATTATACATCAGCTGGATCTTGTGTTGATTTCTGAGCTAATCTCGATAGCTTCTATATTACAGCTTGGTCTATTATATATTAATAGCTAAAGACCTGACTATTATAGATAGTGCCTAGGTATCATGTTGATAGTCACATTAGCAATGCAAGGAAGTATTTAAATGCTCTGATGTCCACCCAAAAGACTAATTTTGTGTATTAAACAGGTCTAGAACAGGTATCTGTAACAAATATATGTCAGTTCCTTGAATCTGCCGTTTGTAAGAGCCCATTATTCTTTCTAACAAACACAGGTCAACCACAAAAGTAGTGGCAGGTATTCAGTGCTGTTGTAACTGAGCATCGCCACTTAGGAGTGGGAACCCACAGTTTCTAAAAAATCCATTGGCTTGTCCTCACTCCTGATTCTTCCTAATGAGCTTGGAGAAGGGGAAGATGTGGGAACTGTGCTTCTAAATACATGACACATGCATACCCTCAACTAGTTAATATGAACTGCTTGAGCCAAGAAACTGAAAGTATGCCCTCAAGTATCTTCAGTCTTTCAGGGCCTGTTGAAAGAGTGTATGGTTGCACACAGGACACACCAAGGTCACTTGAAGCACAGGACCTCTTTCCTCATTTTCTCCCTTGTTACAGTATGCTTAGAAACTGTGTGCAGCCAGGCCTTTCTGGTTGAGAAGTGGCTTCCTGACTGATTGCAGCCTAAGGCAGTGGGTAATAGTAAAGGTACTTGAAATATCTGAACTTTAAATATCCAAGAGTATTTTTCAGTCATTAACTTGGTAAGGTTCGTAGTTACCCCCTTATTAACTTCCTCCTCACTTAAAAGATCTGATGCAGTTGCAAGGATGGAACATAGAATAAAGTACCATAAACAGGAAACTTTCTCATTTATTTCCTTAAGCTTATGTCCAGCTGTGCCAGCCATTTTTATATTTTATTTCTTTGCTTTTCTGAAATGGGATCTTCCCAAAGATCCTTAACTGACATCTTGCGTCTGTTGCTGCTGTCAGTGATGTAAATTGGAGTATATGCAGGCTATTGCTACTTTCAGGACTCTAGTTATTTAGGGTATATATGTGATGCAGCTGGGAGTGTGTCCCCCAGCCCGGGTAGACAGAGGCACACTAGCTTTGTTGGAGCTAGTGTGCTAAAAATAGCAGTATCTGTTGTGGCGTGCGTGGTGGAACAGGCTAGCTGCCACAGTATAAATCTGCCTGACACTTTCCTTCCCCCCCCCAAGTCTGTACTCGAGTGATTAACCTGTGCCACAGCGTCCGACTGCTATTGTTGCGTGTACATCTATCTGGGCTGGGAGGCACACTACTAGTTGCAGTGTAGACATAACCTGAGGAGCCCCCTGTGCTCGAAATACCTGGGGTATAAATTACACAATGGATCATGTAGCCAAAGTGACCACCTTAGAAGTCTGAATACCTGCTCTCAATTTAAGCTTGGAAAGTGATCATATTTAAAGAATTTAGCTTTGCTAATTGTTAGTACTTTAAGCAGTAAAATGATTAGAGACCAAAAAAACAAACACAGGAATTTGGGGAGAAAGTTAAAGATTAAGATAATTTTAAGATCTATTGCAATGCAGTACAATGCTTGCTAATGTCTTGCTGGAAAACTGGGAGATTGAGTGCCCATGTTGCTGTATCAAGTTTACTTTTATAAGCTCTGGTCTGGTGTCTTATCAGCTGAGCCATTGGCCTCTGATAAAGTTCTCATTTTCAAAAAAGCTTTTAAAAAGCATTCTTAATGTTCACTGAGAGGCCCTGCTCCGGGGCTGTCTTTTGTCACACTATACGCTTCAATTTTATGAAGCTTAACTTCAGGGATCTGTAAGCTAGAGCAAAGTTTAGAGCAAGGAAACAGGTCCTCCAGAATAGAATCAACCAGATATTTGGATTTGTTGTGTGAAATACATCCAGCATACTTAATTTTTGGTTATTAAATACACCTCTTCATTACTCTAGGTGCATGAACAATGCATACTAAAACTACAGCTAATAACAATAAAAGGCATTAGAAATCTGGACTCCAGTGCTTCCCCTTCACTCATCCATCCCTGTTGGAACCCACCTCTCTCTCCCTTGGAAGAGTCTGGGAGAGAAAATAAGCTGTTCAACATGCCTGGAAGGTCCACAAACCACCCTCAGACCAATAGAGAAGGGAATTGAGTCTAGGAATCTACTGAAAATACTATGTTAGTCCTCTTCCATTTAAATGAGGGACTGTTAGCCTGAGTTTCTTAGGGAAAAGGTTGAGAGCCACTGAACTATGACCTTCCTCCCATTACGCAATATGGGAAGGGCAGAGTGGTATGTTTGTAACCACCAGGTTGAGAACCCTTGCCCTAGCTGGTGTATCATACAGGGAGAATGTCTCTAGGTGCTCAGGACACAAACCATGAAGGTCTGGAATACTTCATATAGCCCTGTTCCTTGACTTCTACTTCAGGACTGGCTCTGTGCTTGGTTTCATTGTGATCCACCAGAGGTGCAGGCTGATACTTCAGGTATACATTTAGTGCAGTGATCGACACGATAAGTAACAGATCTGGTAGCTGAATTTAAGTTTATAGTTTACTTTGCTGCAAACTGAGACTTTAGATTACTAAAACTATGAATAAACAGAATTGGCTGCTTCCTCTTTCAATGTGTTGCCATCTTTAATATTAAGTTGAGATGAAGACTGAGTAAAGTGAAGTTCTGTGGGCCCAATTCTGCTTTCCTTAATGTGTGCACAGCCCCCTCCAAAATCAGTGGGGATGTTGGTCACATGTAAATAAGGAAATTTAGCCCCATATATATCTGCACTGGCTTCCATAGGATCCTTATGGAAAAAGTGCTGTAAGAGATGATTTTGCTTACTCTTTCTCAGGAGAATGCCCTTGTGTTGCTAAAAGTCAGTGAAGTGTTGCCAGTTAGAGCTGCCTATGTAATCATAACATCTATTTGTGCTGTCAGACTGTCCTGCCTTATCAGATTTATTTTTGACTCCGAGGCGGAGGTATAGGGAAGTCTCCAATCAGTCTGTCTAGGACACTGAACAATTTACATAGACATCCAGACAGATTGTTTATGGAGCTGAATTCTTTCCTTGAAGATGAATCTATGCCTAAATCTTCCTGCGTAACTGTAATTTGGAACAATTCTAGGAAGCAATCTAACTCTTTGCTGTGTGTGTTCAGGTAATCATGTGGGTTAGTGTACTGGAGCTGCACAGAAGATGCTCCCTTCTGAGATGACATGTGCCCCTCTAGCCAACAAATTCTTCTTCTAAAGTTTAAAATGGCTGAGTAGTGCCTAACTGCTAAAGCCCTCAAACTATATAGGGGATGTCTGGTAGAGAAAAAGGATGAATCTGTTTTTGAAAGATCAGTAATGAATGATTGAGGAACAAGACATCCTGTGCCAGATTTATCTTTGTAGTTCACACCAGGGATATGAACTTGGTCCTGTGTATACAGAATATGGGTCTATGTTAATATGAAGGTTGTTTCTGCAATTTTTAAATGTCATTGCAAATTAATAAGTGGGCTTCCTTGTTGCTGTATCCCCACTGGTACTTCTGTGTGTTTCAGGGAGTCAAGCCAGCTAGCTTTGATAAAGTAGCAATTCCTGAAGTGAAGGAGATCATTGAGGGATGCATCCGACAAAACAAAGATGAAAGGTAAGCTCCACTTCTTTGAGGCCCAGGTAGTTGTATTTCAGCACAGACTAAAGCACTGGAATAGTCCTATAAGGCTTCAGATACTATGTATTGGAAACTTTCTGGATAGTGTCGTACATATAATTCTGATAAAATGTTGAGGTCTTGAGAGCGGTTATGACTGATATGATGCTGAGTGTGATTTTGGGCTATTCTATACTGACCACATTGTGTTAGCTGATTTTGATTATTCACAACGGTGTTCTAACCCAGTCACTCTTTGTAGTAGAGACAGTGGTGCTCTTTCTTACTGTGCCTGTACAGGATGACCTCACCATTTGTACTCTGCAGGGATGTATTGTTTGGAATATAATTTGCACCAGTGCTTCCCAAATAGCACTAAAGTTGAAGGCCTAAATGTAGGGCATAAGACCATAATTACCTCTAGGTAAGAGGAAGTGTGAAATGGAGGATTATTCCTTTCATCGAATACCCATCTCCCTTCCACTTGGTAGCTGAGACCCAGTGTCACTGGCATCTACCAGTTGTGGGAAGGAAGATAGGTAAAGCTCTCTCCAGCACTGGTAATGTTACTACTTTTGCTGAGAGGGATGATGGAGATCATTGGCCACTGATACGTTGCCAGGGCTGTCAAAGATAAATACAGGTCTCAAACAGAATGAGACAGTTGGGTAAACAGTGAGGAGATGACTGGTCTAGGGTTTGGAGGCCATCTTGAATAGAATACTGACTTATTTATTTAAAATGGCAGTGTCCGCTGTGCCCAATATGTGGACTAACAGATGTATTATGGTACTTTAACCTTCATAAAGCCATACTGTTTCAAGAGTTATTTTATGATATGCTGGCCATTATTTTAAGTAATTAATGTGATGTTGTGCTGATAGGATTAGGGATTTGTAGTTGAGATGCAAGTGAATTTTAAGCCACTGACAGTTGCATGCTTTTGCATCATCTTGGGGTTAATCGTTGATTGCATTTTGAAAAGTTTCAAAAATTGGCACTGGAAAAGAAAAATTGAAATAGCAGATTTAATCCCCCCATCCCAAAAAACAAACAGAGGAGTTAATGGGAGTAGTATGAAAAGTTGAGAGTAAGCTTTTTGGTATCGTCGTTCAAGGAAGATGATGTTCCTTACTGATTTTGTCAAAACCTAATCATTGTGTATCTTCTCTCCCTTTCCACTTCTCTATCCTGATATGTATAGATATGCTATCAAGGACCTTTTGAACCACGCTTTCTTCCAGGAAGAGACTGGTGTGCGGGTAGAACTAGCAGAGGAAGATGATGGAGAGAAGATTGCCATCAAGCTCTGGTTACGAATTGAGGATATCAAAAAGCTTAAGGGCAAATACAAGGACAATGAGGCAATAGAATTTTCCTTTGACTTGGAGAGAGATGTCCCAGAGGATGTAGCACAAGAAATGGTAAGGGCTGTTGTGTCCTTTTTGGGCATTTGTAATTGTTTTTAGTTTAGATCAACTCACACTCTTCCTTCTGAGGTTGGGGTGTAACCTGCCATGCTTTTATTGTCCTGGCAGACATAAGCGGGTGAGGGACTGGTTGTGTTTGGAGCTAACCTTCAGAGGAGACTGGGAAGCTGAAGATTATACAGCAGAGCTGTACTTGTTGTATTGGTGTGGCAAGATGTGATATTGAACATCCATGTGCACTGCTTTAGGTGGAGTCAGGGTATGTCTGTGAAGGGGATCACAAGACAATGGCCAAAGCGATCAAGGACAGAGTGTCTCTGATCAAGCGAAAGCGAGAGCAGCGTCAGTTGGTGCGAGAAGAGCAGGAGAAAAGAAAGCAGGAAGAAATCAGTCAGAAGCAGCAGTTGGAACAGCAGCTACAAACAAATGCTACCCAGGCAGGGGCAAAGCATCCTCCATCTGCCACTGGCATCACTGCCATCCCCACTACTTCAGCATCAGTGTCCACACAAGTAGAGCCCGAAGAGCCAGAGGCTGATCAGCACCAACAATTGCAATATCAACAGCCCGGCATATCTGTTCTGTGTAAGTATATTGCCTTAGGCCATTCAGGATGTACTCCCACCCCTTTTAATTTTACTCGCCTTCCTTCTGGGGAGTCTTACTGATTTCCCTTTCAAGTGAAAAATCAGGTTACATGATGCTGATAATTCTGCCCACAGTGGGGTATCCAAAGTATTGAGTTGCTGCTTCATTTCTTGCTCTTCTATCTGGAACTCTACAGTGGTATATGATTGTAAGAGGAAGAGAAAATAGTGAGAGGCTACTGGATCTTCCATCCATATATGCACTCATAAAATGAGAGAGAGAGAGAGAGAGAGAAACATAAGTTACCATTTGCCCTGTATAGGCAGCTGGGTATTAAGATCTTTTTTGGATATACTCAGACTTGAAAGATACACCTATGTGTGCAAGGCAATGAGGCTGTTCATCCTCTTTAAAACAAATAAATAAATAAATAAAATTAAAAAATAATAATAAAAAAGAACCCCTGGTTAGCGCAGAGGACCTCGTAACATTTTCAAAAGAGCAGCTGAGGGCCAGAGCAAGGCAGAATTGAAGCAAACTTCTTATTTCCACATTTAGTTGGGAATAACTTTTTGATAACTCTGTCTAGGTAAAGGAGCTGTTGAAATGATTGTCATTGGCTTTCCACACTCCTCTCCTGATCATACGGATCAATTTAGTTCAGAGTTGGAGATGGAGCTCTCAGGGATATATCCATATATATGTTTGCTATATTGGAGGAAGAGAATCTTAGTTTTGGACCAGTTTTCCTCTTAATAATCAATAAAATATTTAAAAACTGCCAGTGTACTGGGTACTGTAGATGACACAATGAAAGTAAACCCTGCCCTGAAGACCTTAGTTCAATATAGGACATGTTGTTGTGGAGAGTGGAGGAGATGGAAGACATCCTGTAGTCAGGGCAGGTTGTGAGACTGACATTATTGCGTGCAAATAATAAAGTTTTTTAAGGCTAAGATTTTCAGAAGGGTGTTTAAAGTTAGACTTCCAAATTCATACTTAAACACCTGAGTAAATGGCCTGACTTGGACAGTGCAAAGTACTTGTAAGCTCTGACTTCAGTTATGAACTGCTGGGAGCTTAGCACTTTGGAAAATCAAGCAACATACATTTCCAAGCCTAAATTTAGGCACCCGTTTTTGAAAATCTTGGCTTGTAATATTCAAGCAAGACTGTAAAGCTTGTGAGTCCACAGTATTGTTTTTGAAACTAAAGTCTTGTGGTCTTTATTTTCAGCTGATGGGGCAGTTGACAGTGGTCAGGGATCATCTGTTCATACTGAATCATGTGTGACTAGCCAACAGACTGTGTCCTATGGTTCCCAGCATGAACAGACTATCTCAACAGCTACAGTCCAGGGATACACAACTTCAGGTGGCCAAGTGCAGTCTCAACAACATGGAGGATATCAGCCACCCACAGTGGTAAGCACAAACCTCAAAAGGCACACAGAACACTATGGATTACATCAATCTGTTTGGTTTTGTCACAAACTTTCCTCTTGCCTTTCAATCTGCGGTGTATATATTTAGGCTTGGAAGGATAAGATTTTTATTGGTAAATGTTGATTTACCATACACACAAACGATGAAAAAATATTTCCATAGATCAAAATTTACAGATAGGTGAAGTAAGAAAAATGCTGCTTGAGAACTTGAGCTTGATTTAGGGATACTTACTTTATATATTTTGGCATGAGATATTGACAGTTTGTGTTATAACAGTTATAAAGCGTAACTTTTTGAACCTCACATCTACTATAATTAAATAATTGTCTGCCCTCCATAATTTTCCACAACTGTGAAAATTTAAATTGATAAAATTATTAAAAAGGGCTTAAACCTACAGTTTTGCACAACTGACAATTTTAATCTAATAAAAATGCTTAAAATATACATTGCTATTGTGTCAAAATTGTATAAAAAATACAACTTTAAATCTGCCAAGCCTGTGCATATTGTATGCAAATGCAAACTCTATCTAAAACACTTTGGGCTATATGCACCTTCTCAAATGCAGCACTTCATTTAGGATGAAGAGGAAGTAATCTTCTGGGGTTTTTTTGCATGCATTTAGAGTGAAATGGGTGGATTAGTATCAGTCTTGACCGATGCAACCCTAATTTGAGGGTGTTATCTCACGTTGAAGTCTATGCTTAGTCTCACTCAGGATAGCGTGATGCTTCAGCCACACTTAACAGTGAGCATGGAAGTTCCAAGGATCAAGAGTCCTTGAAAGGACAGACAGGTATTAGAATAACTTAGTGAGAGCTGCTCTGTAAATGTGAACTTGCTACATGTGTATTTTGTAAGGCTTTGATTACAGGTGTCACAGGTAAGAATTTTTAACCATTATAGAATGTTGCATGTAAGCACTCCAGACTGAAGAGATCCCACATTTGTGTGTTCCCATTTTATTTATAGCTTGTCTTGAGTTGCTTGTCAGTTGCCATGCATATTCCTTTCCCTGGAAAGTCTGCAAAGGCCACAAATACCCTTTCCACTATGTTCATCTGCTACCCTTTATTTGGTACCCTTTTTTTCCCCTTGATACGTTTTCAATGCTGACTTTGTAGGAGCTCTTAAAAACGCGGCCTTTCACCACTGTAGTATTTATATTTCAGTTCAACAGTCATCTCTGGCTCCTTTATTTGCAAACTCAAAAGCAAATAATGGTACCATATCTGGAGAATACAAAACCATTTTCTGTTGAGTCTTGGGAATCCTCAGGTTTCTGTTTTGGTATCTATAGCAGGGAATTTTATTGGAGTTGTTAGTGGTGTCCGCCTTTCTCTTTGAAGAAACTTACCAGTTGCATTGATGAATAAACGGCCTCTCCATCCTTTCCAAAGGCACTTAACCTGAAGGTTTGTGGCGCTGTTGATTCTTAATCAAATGAACCTTCTAAGCCGTCTAAAGTAGTTCGATGCTTGCTCTCTTAATTTCCCATATTTCAATCCAAGGATGTGGCTTGGACCAAAAAACATTCCAGGCTTGACATGGCTGGCTTCCAGATTGAATGATTAGAGTAACAGTAGGGAACCCACTAACAATTCTGCTGAACAGTCCAGATACTAATCTGAAAAATCTTGATAAAATCAGTGTTAGACCTCCAGAAAACCACCAATCTGGATTTTTTTTTTTTACGTTTGGAGTTCAATTCTCTTTTGAAGGCAAGGGGGGCAGTTCATTGTGAGAAATTTCAAGGACTAGAGGAACAAATCTTGAAATTGTGGGCTGGCTACTATACTAACACTTCCATCTTTCCAATTCTTTCCTTTTTACAAGTATTTAATTGGGTCAGATTCTGACCTAATGGCTTCGGGGTTGTGTCAAAATCACAAAATCTTGGCTCTTTATTTAACAAAGCCATCTTTTAGAAAATGCAGTAAAACTAATATTAAAGAAGCAATTTTTTCCAAATATTAAACTCTAACTTTTTGCTCCACAATTCATGTTGTGGATGATGCTTAACTCCTTATGGTAATCACTTGACTGAATAAAGCACTAAATGTATCCTATCAGTCCAGTTATATGTATAGGAAGCTAAACTCCTTTCTAGAAAACGAAATAGGTTTTGTGCAAGCAGAAAGACTGGAGAGACAAGTACCACTGACTTTGACATACACACCTTCCCCCACTCAACGTAGTGTGGACATCTGAAGGCTGTGCATTAAGCACCTAGGGTCTTTCATGTGTAGAATTGCTTGGTACTGGAAATACCACTTCAAAGCTTCCTGAAATGAGTGTACAGTGAGAAAATATCTCCTATATGTCAACCCTGCTCTTCGTGTGCACATACAAATTGCTTCTGGTAGGAGCACTAATGGAACTCTCTTCACCGTTGAATAATCAAAGGCAAGCTTGAGTCCTCAGAGGTGCACACTTCCTGTTCCCTGTGTGCTGACCTTCATTAAACTCCCTCATATCCTTTTGCACACATAGCAATCAGCATTAGTCTCATCATGTATGTGTGATTTTTTTTGTTTTTTGTTTTAGCTCATTACAGTTGTACAACTTTTCATTTTAAAGCATTCATTTCTTAATTTTGTTTTCCTCCTTAGCCTCAACGTGGTCGTAGCATGTCAGTTTGTGTCCCCCATCTTTCTGCTGTTCCTTCTTTGCCCTGCATCCTTCCCAGTATTCCTTCTACCCCACCGCCAGCATTGTGTGCACCTCTTTCTCCTTCCTACCTTCGGACTGCCCCTGAGGAAACCTTTGCAGAAAAGCTTTCTAAAGCACTGGAGAATGTCCTGCCCATGCACTCTGCCTCTCCACGCAAGCACCGACGCTCCAGCCTGCCCTCCCTCTTTGTCAGTCCTGTATGTGTTACTGTACACCTCCTGGTACACAAAGATAAGTTACCATTAAATACATCCTGGTTTGGTTTATTTAAAGTAAAGAGGAGCTGATTTTTTTAAAAATCCTGTGCCCTATGCAACTAGAGTGCTGATTCCTTCTCTTTGGGAAGCACCATGCTTATGTAACAATTAATGAGCAATGTTGGCACCTGAAGTTTGATTCAAGTTTTAGGGAAAGAACTGAACGTATCACAGAGGATAAAGAGAGAAGTTACAATCTAGTCTATGTCCCATAAGGTTAGTGCACCTGCTTCTGCTTTTAGGCAGTCAGTGACATTCTTTCAGCTCCTGGATAAAATTGTTAATGTCAAATATGACCAGGTGTTAAAACCTACTAGTAGCAGCTGGTTTGCTCCAGAGCACTGTGTTTTAGTGGGGACAATGACCTTTTAGATTTATAATGTTAAAACAAATCAGATGGGCTTCTATCAGTAGGAGTAGCAAACAGTTCAGCTTCCTTCTTCTGTTTGATTCTGGAGGGAAGTCACAGTTAAGTTTCCATTGATTCCTATATAAATATTGTCTTTTGAGATAGAAAGACTGCTTCTGTTAGAGCAGATGTTAGATGCTAAGAGCATGAATGGAAGGCAGTCTTTCCAGAGTAAATTGATTCCATATGAAGTTAGAAGTGGTTTTTGGGTTCAATTTATTCTTTAATTTGAGGAAATATTTCCTTTTAAGGGGAGGTTGGAGAATACAGAATCAGTTTCCAGAACACAGGAATAGAGTATAAAGGACATGTCCTTATTCACTTTACTGTGTACTATGGGAGTTTGCTGCTGCTTTTTCAGAGGGGAAATTAAGTGATCTGTTTGATTATAGTGAACTCAAAGAATCAATCACAATGTCATGGTGAAATCAGTTGCTGGTAGCTCTTGTAGAATCCTCCTGAAAGAGGGACAATATTGCATCATGGCTCAATATGCTGGGGCAAAGTGAGATGAAAGTTTCTCACCGAACATTTGGAAATGATGCTCTTGATTGTTACCCTGCTGTTGAATTATCCTTGAACCAGATCTTCCTAACTGACTTGAACTTCTAGCCAATTGGAAGCAACTTCTTGGCAAGTTCTCTGACTCCAATAGCCTGTAGTAGTCAGTGATTGCACAGTTGCTGCTGTTCTCCCAAGAGCAATTAAATGTAAGTACTGTTGGCGTAGAAAGTATGAGGTGCTAGTGAAAATCAGTAGTGACATATATAGTAAAAATGCATTACTATTACAAATTACAGTACAACTTTTCCTCACCCTTCATTTTGGCCCTTGGAAAAAGAGCCAGGATGGGCCGAACCTAACACTTTAATCAAAAAGTGTATAACTTTGCTTTTGAGAACTTCACTGCTGATTTAGTACAGGTCTATTCAGATTGGAGATGCAAGAGTAGTCTAGTCAATTCTAATGAGTGTTAATGGCTTGCCTATTGAGTACCACAAATGTGAAGGGCCGTTGAAATCAACTGAGTCCAAAGATGATGCAACATGAGTGACTCTTAAGAGATGTCTTAATCTTGCGACCTTAGAAGGTTCATTCATTGCCTTTTAGCATATAGCAAGTACTGAATGGTTTCTGAAAGAGTAACACTACATTTTCATGGGCGATAATCCAAGTTAAGTAACCAAAAACTGAAGAGTTCTTCTCCCTTTCTTGCCTTTTTTGTGTACCTTGTAAACACAAAATCAAGAGATTGTTGCCTCACTGCTAGCTAGTTCAGAGTTGGTTGTTTTGGTATAATCTGCACACAAATCAGTAACTCAAAGGCTTAACTTAAAGCTGTTGCAGGTATCGTGAAAGTAAGTGTTTCATTGTCCGCAGCAAATTATCTCTCTTTTGTGAATGAGAAGAAGGGGGCTGTTACGGAAAAGCAGCTTCTAACAAAAGCAAATACTTCCATATGCAGTCATGTTCACCATGGATGTATTTAATGGATATTTACATTTTGTAATTTCCAAAGCAATGTATGTGTTATTGATCATGAACTTGGAGTAGTCATTCTGTAAGGTTACTACACAGAGCTGCCTAGTGAGCTGTGCATGTTCATGTCCTTTCATTTCTAAATGTATGAATTACTTGTCTTGTTCATATCAATACAGCCTCAGTCTCTGGTGCATCCGTGTGGGGGAACACCAACGTTCCCAGATTCACAGATATTTTTCCCAACCATTCATGAACGGCCAGTGTCTTTCTCGCCACCACCTGTCTGCCCGCCGAAGGTCACCATTGCTCAGCGGCGCAAGAGTACCTCCTTCTTGGAAGCCCAAACATGCCACTTCCAGCCCTTGCTGAAAACTGGCCAGAGTTTACTTCCACCTGGTGTTAGCCCCACAAATTGGACACCAGAGGCAGTCGTTATGCTGGGCACTACAGCTCATAAGGTCACTGGAGAGCCCCTACATGTGCAAGTCAGTTCAGCACCTCCTGAGGATGCTCACTATAGAATGCCACAAGAAACAGTGTACTTAGTGGGCATGCACTACCAGCCACAGTTGCCAGAGCATTATGATACAGTAGCATATAATTCCTATGGGACTGAACAGTACTTGAAACAGGTGCCTGAACAGAAGCATGTGCAAGATGGCCCTCTTCAGAGCTCTGTTTATGACTACCAATCTGGGCAGACCTTCCTGCCAAGACATTTACAGAGCTTGAGGCTGGATTCTGGAATGAGCCCACTTTCACCATTGTCCAGTGTTTCATCTCCATTAAGTGCAGATTCCACACAGTTGAAATGTCACCAGGTATTTGTTCCTCATTCTGCACCTGCTGTGCTTACTCACAGTGGTGATGGCAGAACAAGCTGTGTTTTTGAGTTCCATGTACACACACCAAATTCGGCTCCAGGAGAAGGGGGTATCTTACCCCAACGTATTTACAGAACCTGCCGGGGGTCAATGGATTTTAATCAGGAGGAGTCCACTCAGGCAACAGGGTTGCATGGTCGCCTCCAGCCTGTGACAGAGGAACTGTGTAACTACCTTGTTCCTGAGCTAACAGTACCCAGAGCGGGATCTATCAGAAAGAGCTGGCCAGAAGGAAGTCCAGAATACTCAAGTGATTCATCACAGCTGACTTCCTCCGACACTGGTGATTTCCAGTCTCCTCCCCCAACAGGGGTGTTGTCTACAGCTTTTGGTTCAGACTTCTCGTTGCCCATTGTCCCATTGCCTCAGAAGGTATTTCAAGAGTCGCAGCTCTTCATCTGTTTCCAACAGGGAGCCTCAGCTCAGCAGGCCTTGTCCACCTCGCTTTCATCAGGACCACCTGCACTCTACCCTCAGGTTACAGGAGCAAACCATTCCAGAATTTCTCTGCTGTTTAAGTCCTCCTTTACACAATTAAGAGCCAGGTTTCCCTTCTTTCCTTCTCCTCTCCCTTCCCCACTCCAAGTTGTTCTAGATCTTGGAATTCAGAGGATATGTTCCCGCTATATCAGTAATATACTAGGATCTCAGTAGCTTACCAGGTCTCACCTAAATAAGTGAGACATCAACAGTTAATCATTCTACCTTCAGCCCAGGCTAAATCTTGGTAGGTGGGGCCTTCTAACATTTGTAGCAAATAGTCAGTACTCCTTATTGTATTTTCCTAGCTGATGCTCAGCTCAGAGATCCAGGGGACTGAAATGCAGGGTTGACTTTTCATCCTGAAAAGGTTATGGATTGGGTACAATAAGGTATGACTAATTCTGTGGGAAGAAATACTGTGACGAAAGAATCATGCTTTCTCTGGTCATGCAGTCAGTGTCTTCAATTAAAGAATTTAATATTGTTTAACAAAATACTATTCATACAATGTAGGATAGAAAAACTAAAATGCCAGTTTCTGTCCACTGTCCAGACGCAGGCGAAACTCTTACTAGGTTTCAAAGGGATTTCAGGGGATGAGGTGTGTCCGTAAATATACACAGATCTGGGAATGTATTTATTGAAGGAGCACTTGGAAAATAAATTTTCATAAGTAATTTTCAAAGTTAACTATTTTGATAAATTAAAATGTAAACTAAAGCCAATTGCACAAATTGTCTGAGCTTGATATTCATAAGGTATCATTTCCACATAATGGCAGTACCTGGGAATGTTAAAAATAAAACAAACTTAAACATTGTTGGAATTTACATATTTTTATTGATACATGTAGTACTTTCACTTGCAAGAGCCAGGAGAGGAGAGGACCTACTTGGAAGTAGACTTCTCTTCTCCCTCACTCCACTCATTTCAACAGTGAAGTCAGGATTCTCTTCACTGTTGCAGTTGCAGGGGACTAGCCCATTTTTTTGGAATGGAGGAGATGTTTAGGAAGAAAAGGAGCTTTGTTGTTCTGCAGTGTATAAATGTAGAAAGGTCAGGAACCAGGGATTCAGTCTGAATGCTTTCCTCATGGGATAGTGGAGACTTTTCTTTCCACCCACTCAACACAAGTAGAGGCTTGTGGGGATAGCTGTTTCAGAATGCAGCTTTTAAGCACCAGTCTGTTAGATGACAGTTGCTGAACTCCAAGGGAGCCCACTTGTGAACCTTCAGTGTAAGCAGAGTGAAAGTCTAATGAAGTGCTTTTGAAACAATTTGGGACTATACTACTCTATAAACACTATTTTGTTACAACAAACTTCAGTAAGTGGTTTCCTATGTAGGGTTAAAGACTAAACGAATGGCTGGGAAGGTAGCCCAAAATAAGGAAGATAATCCGTATGTGAGATTTTATTAAGAGCTCTTGACTAATGTGTTAAAATAGTGCATGATTTAGGACTTAAACTGTAGCCTCATGTAGAAGCGGCATTACCTTGGTATGTAACGTTCAAATCCTAACGAATAGGCAATACCTTCAAGAAACTATTAAAAGAGCAAAAGAGAGAGCTTACCTGGATGGTGTTGTTTTCCAAGGATTTTTCTTAAATCACAGGAATGCTTTCCAAAAGTATTCATGGAAGCAATATACTGCAGGCATGTACACTATCTCTAAGGGAAATCTTGTGGCTTTAGTAATTTGAAAGAATATTTCATACAGTACTTTATACAACTTTCTAAATGTACTAGACACTTCCTACTTTTTCAGCCTTCCCACTGAAGTGACAAATTAAGAAAGGGAGCTGGGTGACCTTCCCTTTCTGAGCTATCCTGAGGGGTATAGTTACTGTACGTCCCAGTTTCTGATATAGAAGGATATTTAGTCAAGTGGGAACGAAACTGCTGAGGGGGTAGTTGCCATACTGTTTCTTCAGTCTCTTCCACATTCGCTTGTAATGTCCTTCGTCCATTCTTTTATTTGCTTATTCATTCAAAGTTGTCTCTTTGTGTTAGCTAGGACTCTGTGGACTGGAACCCTCTGTATCTCCAACAGCTGATCCAGTTGATAGGCTCTGAACATTTATTAGGGTTTGAGAATCTGGAAGTGATTTGATGTGGATTTTTGACATGTCTTTCAAAGTGAGCTGAGGACACACACACGCTTGATTTAATACTGGTCTAGAACTCTGTATCTTTCTTCAGCTGATGCTCAAGGATACAGATTTCATATCCTTTTTTTCATTTTCTTTCTTTTACCCCGGCCACCTAAGTGTGCTCAGTGTGTAAATGTTGAATGCTTCTGTTCCCGGCTATCATACCAGGACAGCCTGACGTAGATCCTAAAAAAACACTGCAGAAGGATGAAACTGGTAGGCTGACTTGCCTAATATGGAAGGCTGTTTGGGTTGCACTGGTGGTTTTTTTTTTTATTAGTTGTTCTGGAAAGCTTAACAAAATAGAGCTCATCACTTCCCCATAATGCTCTGCTCTGTTGAATAGCTCTATATTAAAATTAAGCCATAGTATTGTTTTGTTTTCATTAGAAATTTGTTCCAATTAGACCATCCTAGTCAGAAATTATAGATGCTTGTTGCAGAAGCCAATAATTGCCCAGTCTGATTCTACCTGTTTCCATTTTTTTCCTGTAGACACAGGTGCAAGGCCAGCCAGTCTCAAGTAGTATATCAGTGGGGGTACCATGCCAGCCTACACAGCAAAGTCAGCAGGTAAGAATAACAGTTCCTAAAGCTGGGACTGATGTGTAGTAAGTTTAACTTGCAGCTTGCTTTTTATGGGAAAAAGTGAACAGGAGGATATCCTCGTCCTTTGTAGAAAGGATATAGGCTTGTTGGTGCAGATGCTAGGCACAGCTGCCAACTTTTTTATATTCTAGTGACTTTTTTATACATGATGGCTTATTTTTGACTCAAGTATGTAATTGAAGCTTTCCAGATTTGAATGGGGTCCTCTTGATGATGTGTTTGAGTGGGCAAAGGTGTACATCTTCTCTACTCTCGCAACCTCAAGTTTACCACATCTAGTTCCAGTGTGTGCTTGGTTTTGAAAGTGAAATTTTGTAACCTAAGTACAAGTGGACTATAGTGCTTGCAGAATCTGGCCTTCCAAATTTTCTCAATGATTTTCTCAATGAGGTTCCCTGTGCAGGGGCACCTTCTCATAAGGGTATGGTAAAAGGATTTATGTCTAGGTTTTGGGTAAAGGGCTGAATAACTGAAAGACATGTTTTCTTACTTGGGCACTGATACAACTGTTTTGTAGGATCTTTTTGTGAATGTCTTCTGTGCCTTTCAGGAAGGTGTTTAATCTCTCTTATTTGAAAAGAGAGCTCAGACTAACTCTTAAGTAATTTTAAGATCTAACAAAATGATTGGGTAGGTGGAAACATGAAGATGAAACACCAATCTTATGGTAGCTTTATCCTTTTGTCCTTCTGGCATTGAAGTTTGTATAGTGTACAACCCTATTGTCATGATGTAAAGTGTAGTAGCAAGTAGACTTCAGACTTAATTTTTGAATTTCTTGACTTCTTTGGACAGCCTTACACTAAGCATAGCTGCTTAGCATTAACTGTAGGATAATGTGAAATCAGTCTTACAAGCTGTCTAATATACTTGTTCCCACATCTGTGTTTCTGATAGGTACACAACAGGGGTTCCACTCAGAAAAACTGTACATCTTCTCTTGACAGCTTTGACATCTGCCTATTCTAGGTAGCCCTGTCTGATCGTCTGGCTTTTGTGATATGAAATATTTTCTGTGCTGAATAATATTCTGTTAATTGTTTTTTCACTTACACTAATTCTGTAACAGGATGCGTTAGCTTCCATTGTAACTAGTGAAAAATTGGGGCTCAGTGTTGGTGCCAGAGCTGTTTTAATGCTGCGGAATAGAAACTATCGTATATGGTTATCTCCTATATTTACAGAGAGTGAAATCTCGGAAAATCTACCCAAACACATCTAAATCTGAGACGTTTTTATCTGAAGAGAAAATAATCTCTCTTGCCATCTTTTCTCCTTGCAACAGAGTGCACAGCAGCTGGCTCCTTCCCAGCAGACAGGACAGTACCAGCTGCAGCAGTCATCCGTTTCCAGTGGAGCTACCCCATCACAACCAGTTTCTCAAACTCAGACTCCACTGATCATGCCGATGCCTCAGGTACCAGCTGGAACTCAGGTAATTAAACTTGGTCTTTTGCAAAATTAGGAGATTTCTCCTCTCTTCCTTTGTTGGCTGCCCCTTTTACTGGTCTGCCTTGTGTCCTAATGGTTCAGAAAATACTGCTGGAGGTGACACGATTATTCTACTATGTTTAAAAATTTGGCAGGAACAGAAATGTCTGTATGCCTGGAATCCCTTTCTTTGGAATATGTGGCAGAAGTTCAGTGGTTCAGTTGAGGAGCAACAGCACTTAAAAGGGAAGCCTTTCTTACATAGATATCTTTGTCAGGTTGTCTAAAATGTGACAACAAGACACAACTTCTGCAAAGATTAAAATAATGGGTCACCTGCACTTTGAGGAGTTTCATGTGGCATTGTTGACACTTTATGTAGGAGAAACCTACTCCATCCAAATTACATTTGTGTGTTCATAATCAAAAAATTGTTCTCCAGTTAATAAGCATGTACACTGCCTCTTCTGAACTGTCGTCCTCTTTTCTACCGGCCTTCCTCCTTCACTCCTTGGCCAGGATGCTTCTATTACTGAATGGTTTTATTTCTGATTGGCTCACATTTTTTGATACTATGAATGTGAGCTTTGTTAAATTTAAAGGGTTTTTGTTGCTTGTTCATTTGAACTCCTTTTCCAATTGATTGTTGGCTTCAATTGACTTGACCTTTGCCATTCTCTGTATGCTGACAGTGGCTTTTCACTCTCCATTGCTTCCTGCCCAGACCCGAAATGGGCAGTCTTCCCCATTTTGTTGTGGGATTTGCATCTCTTCCCGGTAGGGAAGGGAGGGAGGGAGGATTGGTTGTGGAATTAGAATGAGAGAGGACCAGAGTTCGTTTACATACATGTTGGTGCTGCAGCAGTGTTCAGATCTTGCTGTTCTACCCAGCACAACATACATGTTGCAAAAGGTGGTTCAGAGATCTTCAGGAAAGAATTGCAAAATGAGAACCCTTTGGAACACAGCAATCAACTCTCCAGCTACTCCCCCAATCCACTCTTAAAGGGTGTGATAACTTAAATAATTCTTTTCTTTGACTCATACATTAAAAATCTGCTTTCTGCAACCCTGCTTCCTAAAAAGTCTATCTCTATTTTCTTTGCATCCCCAGCTTCCTGTTTCCCAAGCAGTGCCGATCATCCAAGGCGAACCTCAATTACCTGTTTCAGCACCTTCTCTCCCTCAACCTTCAGTTGCCCCAACCATCCCCATTGGCTCTCATTTTCTCCCTATGGGACAGCCCTTGTCAACCTCCCTGCTCCCCCAGTTCTCAGTCTCTCAGCTCCCCATAGCAGCATCTCATGCGTCAGTGGCTCAGCCAGGCTTCCAGTCTCTGCCTATCTCTATGGCAGCTGGCATTAACCAGCCACTACTCACTCTGGCCACATCTGCTGCAGCAGCTGCTATCCCTATAGGATCAACCATTGTCCCTAGCCAGCTTCCAGCTGTTCTACAGTCTGCGGCCCAGCTGCCCAGCCAGGTTCTCCCACAGCTCCTGCAGCCAGCTGTTCAGTCCATGGGATTACCAGCCAGCCTTGGACAAGCTGCTGAAGCTGCACTTCCAGCTGGAGATGCTTTGTATCAGGTATTGTTGCAAGCCAGCAAGAGGTCTCCTAGTCTTCTGTTCCTCTGGGGCACTAGACCTGATCTGCATGCTGCAGATACTTGCCAGTACCCGAATTTGGCGGGAGAGAGAACAAGCCACATGTGTTTTCTCTTTTGTTCATTTAAAAAAAAAAAATTCTCTCATTACACTTGTATGCAAGAAGGCATAGTTTCATTAAATTTTATTTGTTTTTGGACACCTAACTCTGGATTTATTGGCAATGGAATTTCTCTGAAAGAGCTAGTATTTTTTTCTGCTGTACGTGACAACTATGAATTTGAAAATTGATAATATTTTATCACCCCTGCCAAAGACCTCAAATTGCTGGTCTGTGTCCTGGAAAGACCCTGTGTAGGGTATCTGGCAACACCAGTCTTCTGGCACAACTCACTGGGGGAAAATTGATATCTTAGCAATAAACCAAACTATGTGATCCCTGAACAGAAGTGAAGTATCCGATGCAAACATGGAATGTTGAGGTGATGGACAGGAGCTAATCAGTGTCTGATTATTTAGAAGTTTAAACATTTACTGCTGTCAGGGTATAAAAGGGACAACCTGCATAGTGATGGGAATAGAGGCCCAACATGTGATGTTTACCACTATTGTAATGTAATATATATTACATTGAAATGTGCTGTCCAACAGCAGATAATAGCAAGTACTGTTTACTTGCAGTGTGTAGCAATGTTGCTTGGCACTCAGGTGAGCCCACCTCCTGAGTGTGGAAAGGGGAGAGATTGTAGGAACATTAGCTATTAGTTATGAAAGACTACCAGCAGAGGTTGCATATCCTGTCTGCGTAGTGGCCATTCAGCCTGCAAGCTCTTCAGATTTTCCACTTCATAATTTTGTAGATAACTATGGGGGGAGTTGGAAGGTGAGGATTCATTTACCTGCTAGGGACTTTGAAACCCTTCTCTTTTGTGAGAGCCCTGAGAGAGAATTTGCTGGTTCATACTACATGATTGTTTTGGAGGTGAACTTGTTCACCTGGGCAGTCTGCTCTGTTCCTCTTGGAAAATGATTTTTAGAGGTGCTTGAACATTCTGGAAGGGTGTCAGGTTGGAACATGCCCCTGCAGCTTGACTTGCCATGTTTTCTTTTTTCAGCCTTTCTTTCTGATTTCCTAACTTCCCCTGAAATGCACTAACTCAGATTCCTCATTTCTGTCACAGGGCTTCCCACCTCGGCTGCCGCCTCAATACCCAGGAGACTCAAATGTTGCTCCCTCCTCTGCTGTGGCCTCTGTTTGCATACCTTCTGCAGTACTGTCCCCTCCCTTACCCACTGATGCATTGGCTCAGCCAGGCTATCTTGCTGCAATGGTGCAGCCTTATGTGGAACAGAACATTTCAGTTCCTCTGGGCGGTCTAGGAGGACAGGTTCAAGTGCCACAGCCTGCAGTGAGTTTAGCACAGCAGGTCTCATCTGCGTCTTCACAGCAGGGAGCTTTAGAGGTAAATGTAATCTCTGCAAGTTGTGTGTGTAAACTATAAATGTTAGGACATGAATTACATTGCACTGTGGGGTAAATTAATCCCTTCTGGGATGATATTCAGTTGGATATAATGAACTAATGTCTCAAATGACTTTTCTTACAGCAGAATGTCATGCCAATGTGGGGACCTTGTTGCCATTGGCTGTTCTGTTGGGAAGTGAGTGTGCCTCCCAGAGGCAAAAACCTGTTAACACTTCACTTCTTGCTAGTACTCTAGATCCTTTTTGGTCTTCTCAAAGACACTCTGCCATTGGTAGCCCTTGAGAATCTCTCTTATACATGTTCCCTGCAGCCTTGCTGCTGTTGGGGGAGAGATTTGAATTGTCTTTGTGTGCTGCGTTGGCTTCCTTGTTGCACAGTCTGCTAGTAAGACGCTGGTTGCATGGCAAGCTGTAGTATCACAATGTAGCAGATGGGATGGCTGACCTCACCAGGTGCTCTGTATGAGACTTGCACTAGAGCCCTCTTCCTTGGGTATCAGATTTGAGAGGACTAGATCCTGGTTGTTATAAATTGTTCTGGAGAAATGGTGCTTTCTAGCTTCGAAGTTTGATTGGGGAGAAAATATTAAAAGGTTGATTGTGGTAAGAAATAACTCATTGGCGTGCTTGAATGTTTGTTTTCTCTTCGCAGAGTACTCAGGGAGCCTCACAGGCTGCTCCTTCAGAATCTGTACCATCAGCACAGCAACAGCTTGCACAGACTACTCCATTGGTCTCCTCACTAGACAGGTAATCAGTGGGTTTTACCAAGTTGAACTTTTTGGTCGAGAGGAGTTTCTTCCCTTGGTGGCTCTCTGGCATCTGTTCTTTACTAGGGATATTTTCTATGTAAACTGAGGGAATAACTTCCTTTTTTTTTTAGGAGATTTCTCTCCAAATCCTCCAAGCCTCCTCTTTTTAAGCAGGGCCTGGAGAAGGCACACCGATTGTGTGCAATGATCTGATGTTACCATGCCCGAGTGGGTCACAACTGACAATACCAGATTCATGACAAGCTGCTGAGAATTAGGGCAACCCTCCCCGCCCCCCCAAAACTGGTGGTTATTCTTCCATATGATTTACCAAACCAGCAACAAAAGTAAATTTCTGTCTCACTACATTGGCTAATGAGAAGTCAGAAATAGTCTCCTTAAGTATCCCAGCCTTTGTTCCAACACCTAGACACTAGACTTAGTGATGAGTGGTTATTTAAAACCAATTTCATCAACCAAAGGGGGGTTCTTCTCCCAAAGGACCAGTCACATACCTAGGTCAATATATAACTCAGATCTTACCCAATAATCATGCTGTTGCCAATCCTTTAGTATCTAATATCTAAAGGTTTATTTATAAAAAGAAAGAAAGAGGGGAGAGTTAAAATTGACAAAAAGAATCAAATACGTGCAATAATTGCCAAGTTCTTGGATCAGGCATAAAACTGCTGGCTTGTTAAGTCTCTGGTTCCTTCCAAAAGATTGGAAGGTCCCTCAGTCTCTTGGTTAGAATGCTCTCATTAGTATAAGTCTATAGTCCAGAGAACAGAGTGGGAAAGAGGCCAAGTGGAAATGTTTCTGGGGCCTTTTATATTTTTTGTCATATGATGGGTCTGGTCTCAGTACAGTCAGTGGAAAAGTACAGGCACAAGATGGAATGAAGTGTCACATGAGCTGGTCACATGCCCTTGCATGTTTTGATGAGTCATAGCAGGGGCCATTACCCATATTCTGGCTGGAAAGTTCACAGGAAAGTCCATCAGGTGGGGATAAGCTGCTTCCATGGCCCATTGGGTTCATTGATGGGCCATCAACTTGAATAGTCGGTTCACAATGTGCTGGCTAGACTGGATGTAAACTACCTTGTGGGAGTTACCACATTTGAAATACAGGTGTATAGTCAATATTCATAACTTCAGAAATGAAAATGATACGTGCATACTAATAGGATAATCATATTCAGCAAATCATAACTTTTCCATTGACCCCTCACATGACAAAATTTTCTACAAGATTTGTTGCAATTGTATAACAGAGGTAGCAACAGTAATATACATGGTCATATCTTAATCAGATAATGTCACACCTGATATGGTAATCTATTGCAATTACACATCAAGCAAGGGGGTTACTCATTCCTGTGATACTCATACTTATTCAGGGGTTGAGCCTGGCAGAGCTTGATGCTTCATCCAGAAGATGCATTTAAATGGATTATTTTACAAACATATTTTATGGATCCCTTCCTTTCATGTGTGGTTACATATTTATTATTCAAGCAACCATATGTGATTAAAGGATTATCCTCTTCACAAGAGTAACCAGTAGGATTATCCGTCTTCACAAGAGTAACCAGTATTGCTCTTAAGAGGCCACCCTCTCTTGGGTTAAGAGGGGAATTCCGTCATCAC